CGATTGACGAATTCGGCTCTTACCCGATTAGTCTACCTTCCTAGATCTTTAGAAATCACGCGAACTGCTACCTCTCAGAAGTTGTGGAATGTGGTCTCTTGTATGTCTCTTGTATATAACTACGCATTACACTAAACACATAGTAGTGTTCTTTTTCCAACACCCATCATAGCTTTCCTTCAGGAATCTTCTTGAGGAGAATACCATATCTGACGGTATAGAGAATGTAATTCGTTCACCCTTTGAAGTGACTACGTTCACAATGATGGTGTTCGATGAGTGCCACAATGCTGTCAAGAATTCGCCTTATTCAAGTGAGTCATCATTCTCTATTTTTCTGGATAACCACAATCCTTTGGTATCAAGATCTAATGATCCAAGACGCTCCGTGTTTTCTTAATAGATTTTATGGATGATAGGTAGTATTGATCGGCACACCAAAAAGCTTATCGTTGGCTCTAGAAGTTGTCCTTGAGCGGGTTTTTACTTAATGCTGTTGGATGGGGATGGAGACATTCCAAATAGTCGTTTTACACGAAATGTTGGGCTTCTTGGCAGCCTTGAAGAGCTATGTTCATGCGCAAACAGTTGTTTTTTGCAGAGCTATTGCGATTCTACCATCGGCTAAGTTTTTCTCAAAGAATTCCTTCCAAGGCTGCTTTACCGCAGGTTTGTAAAGTGGTCTCTTTTGCTCAGTAAAATATGAACGTCAAAAGTAAATAATTTGACTGGGATATCTATCGCCTGCCTAGTTCCTGGAAGTACTGTTTGAAGAATAGTTGTTTTTATGCCAAAAGCTGACAGCGCTTTTTTTGTCAACCTCTGCTCCACATATCTGCTCGTCAGTAGCTGATTCACCTGGAGCTTGATGGGATAATTCTTGATCGGCTCTGCTCAACGGGATGGCAGGAAATAGCGTCTCGAAGACTAATTCATTCAAGTTTAAAGATTATGAAAATGTTCTCACGTTGGTTCTTTGAAGATTATCGGTTTGACTGCTTCGTTGGGTGTTGGAGGCAAATCAACGGAAAAGGATGCAGTAGCTCATGTTATTAGGCTTTGTGCAATGCTGAACTGCAAGGTAACGGAATTTCAGTTCACGAGAGAGGTTTAGGCAACCATTTTTTGAAATTCAGGCAATCAGCACTGTGCGCAAAAATGTGGGAGAACTGAAGAAATTCTCACCTGAGGTTTTCGATGGTAAATTTTCTTGGAATTTCTTTTTATTATAACTAATTGCATTTGCAATTGCATCTCACATAGTAACTAATTGCGGGGCTCCTTTCTTGAGCCGCATGCTCAAGAAACAAGATCAAAGATCAACAGGTCGCCCTGGCTCGGAATAATAATCATACACTGTTGTATTCTTATTTTAGCTTTGACGATGAGATTGAAACTGCTTTCCTTATTTGCTAAGCGATTCTTTGAAAGATTTTCTCTTTGCGGGACTTAACGTATTGGTGCAGAAATTACTTCTACCTAGTGTTTAGCCGACTTGTCTCTCTATGGCTCTTGGATGAGATTGTAGTACTCAGGT